TTGTAACTTTTCAGTTTCCGAATTTTTTTTTTTCTTCGGACGGATATTTAAATCGTGTCGCCAGTTCTTTCGACTGTGAATGATTTCACTTAACGCTCTCGGGATAGAAAAACAATGTTATCGCTTAATACTTATATTTTCCTGTCATTTAATTTCTTTTCCACTTGGTTCTCTCCGCTTTCTCCTTCTCCTTTGATGCTGGCTGGTGAGTGCTTAGTGGGATTCACTCCCAGAATTCAACCCGGTTTTATGGTTCTTTGTTTTCGCGCCAAACGATTTTGTTCAGCGCGATGCCAAATAGAAAATCATCATAATTTTCCTTTATTACCAGAGTTTTTACCCATTTGCCATAGTTGTTTCCATGCTTTTTATGGACCAACTTTGGACCGATTCCGTAGATGTTGCTGTAGTTGTAGCTGCAGCTTTAATTGCCATTGTCATGGCTGGGCTTGCTCATTGCCGTTGTCATTGTTTGTCACAGTCTGTTCCACCCAGAACCCCAGACCCCCGGTGCTCATCAAAAAAGGGGAAAAAATAACTTTGTCGGAAACTCCTTTGATTTGTTTTCAGCACAACAGTATAAAAGTTTTGTATGAACGAACGGAGGACCCGCACTCGGCCCCATCCTCATTCCGAACTTCTTCGGAGAGAGGTGAACTTTTTGAAGACAAAACATTTTTGAGTTATTAATGAAAAGTTGTTGTCTATCCGGTGTATACATGCAGGGAATGGGCAGGAACAGGGCTTCAGTTTATATAGCGAATACACAAGTGCTAACTAAATGTTATGCTTTCATTATGCTCAGTAGCCGCCACAAAAGTTTCCCATCAGACCAAGTTCCGGGCAAGTTCCTCCTGGTTATTGGCTTAGCTGATTTTTCTCCTGTTCTATTCAATTTGGTTTTGCTCTCAATTTTCTTTTTTACAGACACGCATTTGTTTGCCTAAAGTGCACTTTTTAACTAACTTGTCTAACGCAACTAATGAAAAGATTTGTTATTAGTTTCGGTCCGGTTCGGCAGAAGTGCACAAAGTGGCAGCAGCCACACCAGCTGCCGGTAGGTAACTTTGCCCAGGGAATTATACATAAACATTGGACCAAACCGGGCAAGAAGAACATACAACACACACGATTCGCAAAAATAAAAAGAAATATGCTCGCAACTTGAAAAAGTAAATAAATATTTGAACAACTTCTTATGGCCAACTATTTGTTTGGCAGACGAAAAGAACAAGTTTTGGGCCAGGCCGGGCCAAAGCAAAAAGGTGAGCTCAATGCTGCGCCGGGGTGTGGAACTTTCGAAGCCATTATGTGAAAGTTTTATTTCTCCTCGGCCAGGGCCTGGCAATCGACAAGTTTTCCTCTTGGGTGGCTCTAAGTTCGGCAGGAATTGGATTGGCAAATTGTTCGGCACATAATTTTAGAGGCAATTTAACAAAATCAAATTTAAGATAAATTCTTTTAGCAAGAATGTGCAAGGATTGGGATACATTTAAGTAAATATTGGTTTACTTTACTATGTCTTTGATTTACATATGTTGGAGCCTTACAAATGAATTAGAACAGGCTCTGCTTAAAACTTAGTTAGTTCTTTTAGCCAGCGAATAATTCTCATTATAATCTCAAGTTTATTTCTTTAATCTTCCTAAAAATGTTTAAAAACAAGAAAGGAAGCTAGCTTCGGCCAGCCGAAGCTTATATACCCTTGCAGATCATTCCTATTAATAAACAAATCGCAAAAATGTTCAATTTTCTAATATTTCTCATTAATTTTCCGATCGTTCCTATGGCAGCTATATGATATAGTCGTCCGATTTTGATCAAATAAAATTGAAATTCGAAAATATTTAAAAAGAGTCATATCCTAGAGTAGAAGATAATACAATAAAAACCAAAGAAGCTAGAATTTATTTCCTATTACTTTTCCATTAATTTTCCGATCGTTCCTATGGCAGCTATATGATATAGTCGTCCGATTTTGATTAAATTAAAATTGAAATTTGGAAATATTTAAAAAGAGTCATATCCTAGAGTAGAAGATAATACAATAAAAACCAAAGAAGCTAGAATTTATTTCCTATTACTTTTCCATTAATTTTCCGATCGTTCCTATGGCAGCTATATGATATAGTAGTCCGATTTTTTAAATAATTAATTCGAAATTCAGATATATTTAAAAAATAACATCCCCAAAAGTAGAAGGTAATATTTCAAAAAACACCGAAGCTAGAATTTTTTAAAGTTTTTTTTTTCCGATTGTTCCTATGGGAGCTATAAGATATAGTTGTCCGATCCGGTCGGCTCCGACATATATACTACCTGCAATAGAAAGAAGACTTTTGGGAAAGTTTCATCCCGATAGCTCAAAAACTGAGAGACTAGTTTGCGTAGAAACAGACAGACGGACAGACGGACGGACAGACGGACAGACGGACAGACGGACATGGCTAGATCGACTCGTCTTGTGATGCTGATCAAGAATATATATACTTTATGGGGTCGGAAACGTCTCCTTCACTGCGTTGCAAACTCCTGACTGAAATCATAATACCCTCTGCAAGGGTATAAAAATGTTATCCTACGCAACCCACCTTTTATCAAACCAAGAAAGCGTGCCTCCATTATAGCCATACAAAACGTTCATTCAAATCCGTTTCATGAATGAATTTTGTTTATTTACCGTAGATATCCCACACTTCCCAGGTGGTTCCAAGCAAACTCTTAAGCTGTCCAAATGCCTTGTTTAATATATTAATAAAAGCCATTCAAAGTCTTGTTTGAGCATCTCTAAAAGCCACCTAAATATGGTCATAACCATAAGCCAACTGTGGTCATTGTTCGCCACACAATTGGCATATTAAATTACCGCTTTTGTAGCATTTTTAACATAACACTAACACTAACCGAGGCTATTTTTGGCCTTGGTTATCTAAACAGATAATTAAGTCCGCTTTGAGCCGCGGCTGTCTGCCAGCTGATTGATTGACTTTATCGGCCGTTCGAGCGGGGCCTTATCAACACTCGGCCGGAGTCAATCTTTTTGGCCCGGCCCGTCTCCGGCCTATCAAGATGCAGTCAGAAAATGCATAAAAGACGTATCTCACGGCAAACGACAATAACAAGAGCCACAGCACAGCGCACCAGAGTACTACACACCGCAAGAAGGTAGGTAAGAGTCTCAGATTAAAACGAGTTCTTAACGGCAATCGTGTAGGCCGAGGAGTGCCATCTTTATGGACAGGTTAAGACAACTTCCTGCGTCCCTCGACCGCCCATTGCCATCGAGGAGTTACTTGATCGACAGTTCAACATGAAAACGAAACCAAAAAGAATGACACACCACAAGACATTTCATGGTATTTTATATAAATTAGTTTTTTATTTCCAGATCTTAAAGTTAGTTAAGAGCGCTGAAGTATTTACAATATTTTCTTGTATTTCTTGTAAGTGTTGTTAATTATCTCCTAGCTATTTAACATTTTTTCTAGGGGTTTGACTATCCTCCAAAGATATTTTTAATTAATTTGTAATCAAGTCTTTCTTATAATTATATTGAAATCTTTTACATTAAAACTATTACAAAGTCTTACAAAGTCTATTCACATTTGATAGGAATTCAGCTTTTTACGAATAATACATAATTAATTCCCAAACTGGTCCATCAATTTCTTTGGCGTTTGGTATCAAACTTCCAGCTATATAAAATAGATCCCCCAAGTGTTGTCACATCTTCACGAATTTATGATCCTCGACATCTGGCATCGTTCCAGGTGTTTTTTGGCCGGGAGAATCAATCAAGCGCCACCCGCATTCTGCAGTTTATGACACTCTGTCACACCAAATTTCCAGGCGGCTGCGTACACGTAACGACATAAAGAAACAATTTAAAAATGCATGTAGTAAACGTATAATTTGATTAATAGCGACAGCTAGAATAAAAAAGTACAGAAAGAATTATTCATAAATGTTGAATGTGTTAAAATGAATTATTTATGACGTTACATGCAAATCAAAGTTTGCAACAGTGGCATTTCAAAATTAAAATATTCGATTCTTTTTTTTTGTTACGTTCATTACCTGCTCATCAATTTGTAATTGGATCCCATGCTATTCAACGAGAAAAACAACCTAGCCTGAAAAAAAAGTTTGTTGCCTGAAATATTCATTGTTAAATGCTGTGAAAGAATTCATATTTATTGCTGAAATGATTTGTGTGAATTATTTAAGCTGAAAAAATCGAAAATCAATGGATTAATTATGATTTCAGCTTCCACTCCATTTCCATTTCCAGATCCAGTGACCAAACCAAACCAAACTACAACAATAGCGCCAACGCCTGCGAAAGAAAAGATGGAACAGAACGGAACACGAAAAAGTCTGGACAAGAGTGCCCGGAATTAAACCTATAGGATTAGTTGGGTCTGGGGAATTGGGAGTTGGACGTTGGTTTCAACACCGCCACTCGGGTATTTGCTGGCAAAAAGAAAAGGGCAAAGGAAAAAAAGTCTCTTGGAAAAATAGCAAAACATGTATATGTAAGCATGGAGCTGTGAAACACGCAGCTAGGAAAATACTCAGAAAAAGCCAAAGCTCCGGAGTTGTGAGCTGAAGCCGTAACTGCAGGTGAAAATGGATTCTGAAAATTGGGTTAATTGATGCTTAGTGTTTTGCTTCAGTGGCAGGGTTGTGGAGGGGGATGAGTGGGGCGTGGGTGGTGTTATTTAGCGCCAAGTGGCTAATAGTTTTTGCCACCCCCTTCCCCTTGGCAACCGGAAGCGGAAACCGGAAATGCGCACAAGGAAATACACACAAACATTGGCACACACCGAACATACCAAGTTTATGCTAAGAATTTCATGAATTCTTGACTTAAGCCAAATAAAGTGTGGCCAAAGGCAGAAAAACTCTTGAGAAGAGATGCCAGATCGCTTGTATTAAGATGTTGGTTTATTATAACTCGGGTAATACTTTTTAAATTTAAAAAAAATGTATTTGTAATATTTTGTTTTTTTTTTTTTGATTTTTAATTATTTTTTTTAACGTAGACGTGATATTTTGACTGGTCGATGGCATCACACTAAATATCGTAATAAATGTGATAAATTACATTTAAGTCAGTTATCGGATTTTAAATTACATTAAAAAGTACCACGCATAAACGTCCTGGCAAATGCCAAAATGGCGGCGTTGTTTTCACCAGGGGGTTAAAAGCTAGAAAGGTCAGCTTAACAGCCACGTAAATGCCATATATATTTTATACATATAGACGGGTAATTAGCATTAGCCCATTGTCGAATTATACACACCGGGACTGCCCTGTTCCGTGAGATTGGCAATGAGGGTGGGTGGTCCGCTGCTCAGGCTCCCGCCACCTGCACCGCCGGTCGAGGCAGGACCTGCACCACCCGCTGCAGCACCACTTCCGGCTGCACCGCTGGCAGCCGCCGGATCGAGCGCCTGGGCGACGTGGAGGAGCAGCAACAGTGATGCAAAGGTGGCTCTAAGCGTTGGCCGCTGCCTCATCTTGCAATTTGGTATTTTGGCTATGTGCTTGTTGTACTCCCGCACCGGCATCAACATGTTCCATTGGTTGTCCCTTGGCTCCCTGGCTCCGATGGCGCTAATTGTGGACGATGCTCTGCAAAAAAGGCGAGGGATTCGAGTTAATAATTGATTGGATTTGGTAATCGTCTAATTGTGGCGGCAAAAAAGATCTAATTTCTAATTTCATTTCATTTTTCCAGATATTTTAAATATTGATTTAGTTTTTTTATATATCTCGTAATTAAGAACTTATAAAAATGCATCTGTCGGATGCATCTAACCATATGCCACTCTACTAGTAGCAGTTGCAATTAATGTTCTTAGCAAGTTTATTGTTGCACATCAGACACACAAAAGTATCTTATGGTTACGCTTTGTATCTCAATGTTGTTCACTCGCAGCACACACACACACACATACACCACTTCACCAACTGGTCGCAATTAAAGTTCCTGCAGTCCTGTTCAACCGACATCTGCTCGACAGATACAAAATGTATCTCGGCCGAACATCAAAATTACACATTTGGCATATAAATTGCTCAATTTCATGTACTTTGCCAGTGTCAAATTGTCATTATACGAACGCACAAAAACACACGCAACGCTAATGTATCTTGCAGATACAATTGCTGAAATTGCACTTTTAGCACTTGGGCAGGAATGGTGTGATTTTTTATGAAGTTACAAATTCGTTTCGTTGTGGTCAAATTATTTTATCACAAAAGTAACACTTTTTATTTTCATGTATTTTCTGGAAATTGTTATATAAATACCGCACTTTGTTCCTAATTTTTATTTGAAGAGCAGTTGATTAAATATTAATTTGATTTTGAGCACTTTTTGCACTTTTTATTGAGACATCCTCCTGGATGTTCGTTTTATATGGGTGTTTCACTGCCCCCAAATTATCGATTTAAGACCACGTTTTGTTATCCAAAAAAAAAAGAAGTATATAACACCTTGGCTGTATTTTTGCCGTCTTCAGTTCGTATCTCTTTGTTTATATTTATGCATTGCACTTGTGCCAAGGGCTTTCAGCTTTTCAATGTTGGTTTTTTCGTTTTTTCTGCTCGCGTTGGCGTGTGTGCGTTGCTTTTGTTACATTTATAAATGGTTTAGAGCGCACATGTGCCGCACAGCACCCAGAAACACACGCACAGCTGTGGCTACAATTTGTAACTGTAGCGCATTTATAAACGCTGGCTCCTTCCTTCGTTGTCCTTGCTGCTGTTTTCTGCTATTCCGCTTTTCTGCTCTCTGTTTTTCAGTATTTCCAGTATTGCCGGGCCAATGTTTACACACGCTCAAGAACTTTTTGTTGGTCGTCAACAAACCATCAAGCATTTGCGTTATATTGCTTATCAGCGACTGAGATATGGTATAGGGTATGGGTACTTGGTCCTCCCTTCGCTTCTCCTCTCCTTTTCGATGCGGTTTGGTCTCGTATTTGATTTACCCTTCGGGAAAGCGGAAAACGGGCTCACATGCGGCTCGCCTGAATTTTCCAGTCTCAGTCTCCGTTCAGTTCGCTTTTGTTGTTTCAGTCAATTGCCGCATTTTAAAAACGCATAAAATTGCTTTATGTTTGCCTTGCCAGCAGACGTCTTCTCCTCTCCTTTTTTTCGGCTTATCCTCTGGCGTAAATTTATGCAAGGCGCCTTAGTTAGGGGCCACAAAACTCGCATCGCACATGACAGACGACGAGACGCGTTGGCGTTCGGAGTTTGGATTTCGGAGCTCGGATTTTCCCTCCTTTTCCTCGGGGCAAATAATGCAGGCTGCACAGCTGCAGTTCAGGTATCTTCGGCGGTGTAAGTATCTGTAAGTGGTGCATAAGTGGCAGAGAAATGTTATTGATGATTTATTTGCATTTGGCATTGATATATGCTAATGTTTTTTCCCTCTTTCTTTGTCTGTGTCTCTCTCTATATACAAAAACAAAACCGAACCCAAAAAAAAAGAAGGTTCCTCACGGTTTCAGTTCCAGGCCATGGATTATGTTATCTTTAACCGCTGCGGCCTGTTGGCTTTTCAATTTTTCATGCCGCCGCAGCAAGAGAAGAAATTATTATGGCATTTTTCCCCTCTTTTTGGCTTTCCTTAAAGTCATTTTTATTTGCATTTCGTGATTTCGAGCAGACAGATAAAGAAAAGAGAGGCACAGGCCCAGGAACGCTGGCTGTGTCAACTCAAATATTTGATTTAATTCCCTGACATAATAATTAATCACTCGGCACCTTTTACGGGACGTGCATAACCCCGGGGTCTCGTTTATTTGTTTATAATTAAATATTATTTGGCAGTCCAAATGAGACAGCCAAGCCAAGTGGCATTTATCAGTCATTCACTTTGGCTAGTTTCGTTTTTTCTTTTTATGTTTTATGTTTTTTTCTTCTCTCTCCCTTTTGTTTAATGAGTTACAAATTTGGTTTTTCAGTTGTTTAATGGCTGACAGCATTATAGATTAGTGGCCGAAAGTTTTTCTAGTCCGCTACCCCTCCCTTAGATGTTTTTTCCATTTCATGTCATTTACATGGGATCTGGGAACCGTTCGCCCCGCGGCCCTTTTTGTCGTCCGCCTGTCGCCGTTTGGATTTTTTGTATTTCGTATCTGGCTACTTGGTGGGTCTGCAGATACAAATGTATCTGCGAGTTTGGTTCACCAATGTGTGTTTTTCTGGGCTAATAGCCGGCTGCCAATGGGAATTTGTGTTAATTGTATGCTCGTTATGAATGTCCGTTGGCATTTTAAATTATTGCAGAGATTTTTTGGCTTTATGGGAAGAGAGTCAGAGCTGGGCCACATCTGACATAATTTATAGACCTTACGGGTTGTTTACGAAAAAGTTAAATTTTAAATCGGAAAAATTCATTGTATAACACAGAAAAAAACACGCCGGGATCAAATCGATACGCTATACCGAGAATAAGAAATGCTCTCAATTCGTAATATTTGAAATTCGAACTGTCCTGTTGCTACATTTTAAGCATATCAAATTGAGATGCCCGCATATTAGGTTTTGGGGTACATGCTTTCCTTTAAAAAAAAATATAAACATAAATTTAAATATCGAAAACTGTTATTAAATTGGTTGCTTCAAGTTCTAGAAACATATTATAAAGTTTTAAATCACCAATCAAAATGTACTAATCAAGGTTATTTATATCCCTCATATTAAACATGATATTAACAATGGGTTATTAAAATATATACCTGTTGCTGCCGTTCGCAAATACCTTTGCTCTTTAGACCCCTTTTCGGATAATTTACTCAGGCAAATCTTGAAAGAAAAAGTTTTCCGCTTCATGCGACTCAACCCGCTGGCCCGATTAGCATATTGGGAAGACTACGGCTCCCTAAGAGATTGCCTCATTCCGCATTAAAAATTCATGCTCTCAACTGGCAGGCCTTGAGATACATTTGAAATTCAAGTGCCAAGGCACACGCGCATCGCTAAAAGTGTCAAATTGGCAAAAGTGGACTTGGACTTGAAGGGGAAGTAAGAGCAAAAACAAAAGCAGAAACAGAAACATTCTAAAACAAACTTTTGATGCCCTCTGTTCGGTGTGTGCTATATGTGTGCCTGCGAGTGTGGGGTCTATAAGAAATTGATATCATTTATCAAACTGACACATCCAGAAAGCAGCCATTGAGGCTGGAGCGAATCTTTTCTTTGGCAACTTTTGCAAATGAGGCAGCCGTTCGGCAAACGCCACATAAATAAACAGGGGATGAGAGGCCTAATTGAATTCAGCGTTGCGAGAGTAAGCGAGAAATACATAAATAATCGGACGGGATCGCAGCAGCTCTGCCACAAAATTAGTTCATTAAAGAAGTTCAGTCAGAATTTGCATACGAATACGAAAAAAAAAAACGAAATTCAGCATCCCCCGCCCGAAAACCTCAAAACGAAACGCATAAAAAGCAAAAAATAAATGTAAATTAAAGTAAACAATGCAAAGAGAGCTATCCAAATTGTTTTTTATTTTATTTATTTTTTCGGGGCCAAAAAAACCACCCTCCTCCCTCCGCCCACTCGACAAAAAGAAAAAGTTCCAATTGCCAAAAACTTCAAAAGTCAGCAACATGCAACATGAATATCAAAATCAGAGAGGGAGTATATAAAAAATACTGGCGGGGGCGGAACGAAAGTGGGTACTACTATGTGTATGCATGAAAAGAGTGTTTGGGCTTGTATTTATATTTGTATTTCGTGGAAACGAGTGCAGCAAATCAATGCCCAACAAACGGAACTATGAGAGCTGCGTGTCAGGGCCAAAAACAAAAAAAACGAAGAAATGTTACGAGTATATATATAACCCAACGAATAATTCCGGGAAACCCTCTCAGCGATCAGGCCCAGCCCACTTGTAATAAAAAATATTTTCAATAATAAAGTGTATTAAGTTGTGAAGTGCACACACAACCGTACACACTGGAGAGAAAATAAATGAAATGTGAACCATGGAAAGCTTCGAAAAGCAATAAGAGTGAAAAATTTTCCTTTCCGCTTCTTTTTTTATTTTATATGCTATTCACAAAACAAAAAAGTAACAAAAAATAAAGGAAAATATATATGTAGAGTGACGCTGCCGCTGTATGAGTTGCGTGTAAATATAAATATTTTTTCCATACAAATACCAAAAAACGGGTGACGGAGATGGGGAGTTACATTCCATGGAGACAACTCTGGTTTGTTGATTCTACGAATACGAACGAACGAATAAACGAACGCATGAATGTGTCAATGGCTCAAAACGATTTATACAGCATATTAAATTCTGACATCAATGTTTGATTGTCCATACATAAAAAGTAATAAAATGGAGGAGTAATGAAATCAAATAAAGTGTAGCGGCATCTAAAATTGATTTCCACTCCCTGAAATCGAAACTCATTTAGGTTCTCGATTGTAGTTTCACGTTTAAAGAGATTACATTGAAATTGAAGTGCTTGCACTCTGGAAATCTAGGGTTTCCTCTTTTTTTCACTTTTTTTCTACTTTTTTGACTGACCCGAGGCTTATTCTTCGCAACCATTGTTGTTGTTTACGGAGGAGGGGATTTCGAAGAGAGGCCACCAAAAAGCTGA